TATCCTGCCCTTTGGGGTGACATTTGTGTTTTGTCTATAGAGCAGTATCCCTTTTCTCCTTCCACTGCTCATGTGGGGGCACCTTTGTTGTGGCCTGAACTCTGGGGATGGGATTGGGCGGTGAGCCATGCCTGCTGCCCCGCGGGGGCCTCCTCACCTGTGCAAAGGACAGGTGTCTGCTGTACTCTGGGCTGTGGGTCTTCCTCTCAACTGAGCAGTCAGCAGAGTAAACAGGACTGTTTGGGAGGGCCTGTTTCCTTGGAGCACATCCTCATGAATGTTTACTGGTGTGGAAAAGGGATAACGTGTCCTTATTCTCTACTATGAAACCAGAAACTCTACAAGAGCTAGGCTTCCCCATTAAATGGCACAGTGGAGTGAGCTGCTAACAATTTTATTTGCACTTTAGGAACGATAGCAACCACACAGCACTGGTTGTGCCAGGTCCTGACACACGGCACCCAAGCTCACCCAAGCAGTAAGGGGTGCAAGCCAGCTTAGATTTAGGGTAGTCCAGCTTCCAAATCTGTGCTCTTAGCCACCTTACTGCGTGGTCTCCTCAGGAAGGCAACTCAGGCTGCACAGTTATTTTTCCCTAGCTCCTGGCGAGGAGAAATGGACCGCTGGGCTTCTGGAGGTTGGCTCCTCAGAAGTACCTTCACACACTGATACTGGACCATTGAACAGAATGAATGCTTAGCATTTCAAAGGCTCTTCAAAACTGGGAAGAGGCTTACAGGTTGCAGGTTCTTCCTGCAGGTGGGTGCCGGAATCTGCCTTGGCACAGAGCCCTTAGAGAGGAAGTGGCTGTGTGTGTGGCTGAGGGACTGGACCCAGGAGCAGGGCAGGTGTTGCAAGGGGCCAGGTAAGAAAAGAGTAAATAAAGCAATAACGCTGCTGGCCTTAGGAAATACACAACCTGTCTGTGTGTGGTCTGTTTTGTAGAGACATGTACACAGAGAGCTGGGTCTCCACAATGAAAAGCAATGACACACATGTGATGACAAATGAAACTTGAATCTTGCCCTAGCTGGTTTGACTCAGTGGATAGAGCGTCGGCCTGTGGACCGAAGGGTCCAGGGTTCGATTCTGGTCAAGGGCATACTCCTGGGGGGCAGGCTTGATCCCCAGTAGGGTGCATGCAGGAGGCAGCCGATCAATGATTCTCATCATTGATCTCTCCCCCTCCCTTCCTCTCTGAAATCAATAAAAATATTTTTTTAAAAAAAACACCCTTGAGGCCTCCTGGTGCTTACCACAGGCTGTGTTCTTACACTGACTGTACAGAAATAGGAGGCAGAGTAAACTTGCCCCATATACACCTTAGCTCAGGCTCTTTGCCTGGTCTGTATTGTGAATGGGGAGACATTGAGAAAAATAAAATAAAAAACACCCTTGAATCCTCATTAGTGGCAGGGGCCAGCCAGTAGTAGGTAGTGGTAAGGACTGCATCCACTGTACCACACACCCCTCTGAAAGGGACTGTTGCTACTCAGTGGTAGCCATGTAGGAATCCAGACTGAGTGTCCTATTTAAAAAACTTTTGAGGCATTATAAATATCAATTTTTATGTTAAATATACTGATTTTTCAAGATGGGCTCAAAAGTTTGAAATTTTAAATTCACTTGTTGTTATCCCTGAGGTATGACTTGATGAACCCACTGTGGAGGGTGGTGTCTTCTGGTGTTACTTGAGGTCAAGTTCAGTGTGAACCAACAGCTCCAGCTGGGAGAGGCCCAGCACCCCACCAGACCCTGCATGGCACACAGGGACAGTGGCAGGTGGCCGTGGAGCCAGACAGATTCCCTTTCAGGACTCTGTAAGACCCAGGGACAAGGAGGACCTCCCCAAAGGGTGACACTGTCGTTTAGCTTATAGGTGGCTTTAACCTAAATTGAAGGATTCAAAGGGAAGTGCCATTCCTGGTGTCCTACATGAGATAGAGCCAGCAGTTCATACTGCTTACAATGGTTTGATTTTATCCCCACAACATCCCTGAGAGCTAAGAAACCACCACATGTTTACAGATTCATATGGGCTGCCTAGCTTAAAGGAATACAGTAAATAGGATAGTAAATATCTGCCCAAGTACATGTCACCAGACAGACTGTGTCCTTGGCTCACCATTCAGCAGCCATATGGTTTGGAGCAACTTTGAGCTCCTGGGTCTCCATTTCCTCATTTCTGTTATAAGTATGACATAGTGACTATTAGCTGTGCTGTAGGATGGAATTATTTAATGTGCAAAAAGTACTTAGCATGATGCCTCTCTCCTAATGAGAACTCAATAAATGTTAGCCGTCTCTGCTCTTTCCACATCCAAATCCTCAAGTGTCAACAACAAGACTGCGCACAAAGACCACTAGGGAGTGCACCAAGAAAGCATAAAAAATGCGAGACAAAGAAACAGGATGAAATTGTCCATGGAGGATATAGAGTTCAGAACCACACTTTTAAGGGCTCTCAAGAACTGTCTAGAAGCCGCCGATAAACTTAATGAGATCTACAAGAAATCTAATGAGACCCTCGATGCTATGATAACCAACTAGAAACTAAGCATACACCGACTGAAATAAGGAATATTATACAGACTCCCAACAGCAGACCAGAGGAGTGCAAGAATCAAGTCAAAGATTCGAGATGCGAAGAAGCAAAAAACACCCAACTAGAAAAGCAAAATGAAAAC